AGCTCATATAAATCCCATGATCTGAAATAAAATTTTATCTACTGATCACAATGACAGCTGGGTTTAATTACTCAGATTTTTAATTATAACATTGCATTCTGTAGTTCAATTTTATTGATGAATAATTCAGAACAACACACAGTATAAAGCACCTTCTCGTTACCTGCCTGCACTGTAATGTTCTTTATGACCAATTTAGTGTACAATATTTCTACTAAAAAACCCCATTAAAAATGAAACAAATGCACTACATCATCATAGTGATGATTGCTTATGTTTATATAGTCTCATGTCTCATATAAGAGCTTAAGAAAGGTTACAATAATGGGAGGCACTTTGGCCTTTTAGATCTTTTGGCTGTCAGTAGGTAATTGATCCAAGAAACTCATTCGCCTCTTTCTTGAAAGAAGATATGGTATTGGCTTCAACAACAAGATTGGGCATCTCATTCTGTAATCCCTAAACCCTCTGGGTAAAGAAGTGCCTCCTATTTCCTGTTTACGATACACTCCTACATAGATTGCATGTGTGCCCTTATTCCTAATGTTCCCCCTTACTTTAATTGGTGAAGCAATTTCTCATTCCTTCACTGATCTGCTGTGGAATGGAGCTCCTGACAGATAATAGTTACTGCAGGTCACCAGAGTGGGTGCTGCATTTCAGTGGTGGATTATGTGCATCCCCTGCTATACGTAAAAGGGTATGTATGTGCATTTTCTGCAAAATATATAATGTGCTCATTATTCAAATTAGACATTAGGATTAAATTATTATTTGGGGCATTGTCTTGACTAATTCAGTTCTCAAAAGAGAAAGTACCAGTGTTACAGTACAAAGCAAAATCAGAACACATATCCACGCTCTGGCTTTCTCATAACCATTTGCATTTATCATAAGGTCTCTAAATAATTGGTCATATGCGAACCCTTTGTGCTTTGTGCCTAGAAGGCTATCCTATGCTTTCTTTAACTCTCCTTAGATTTTTAACAATCTTGCTATAAATAAATGTCTTTTGTTATTCAAAAGAACTAAGTTATCCTTTACTCCCACGGCTATTAACCCACTAAATATGGACAATTGTTTGTATATTTCACTTTTTTTTTCATTCTCATCATACATGTATGTCTCCTGTTTGTTAATGGGTTCATGTTGGGTTAATGGGTTATACTGTATATTGGTTTTACCTGCCTGCAAAGCACATTTTCTATATAGGACAATAAAATGAAGTAAGTAATCATTTATCCCTTAGTTATTAGTTGTATGAAAATTACTTTCTATTAAATGTCTCCTTTACTTGGTCACACGTTAGAGTATGTGAATTTAATAGATATTTAATGATCAATTGACTAAAAACCAAGGTTCTGTAGAATCTTAATGAAGCACCCATAGATAAACAGTAATTATAGTATACCCTCATAGCTAATATATTCAGATGCTTAACATTTTACAGAACATTGACCATTAATTACTCAAATTACCTATTAAACCCTTACTTATACAACAATATAAACCATGACCTTTTACTGATAGAAATTTGCAACTTGACTTTTTGAAATGGTTCTCACCATTAAGTACACAATATAAAAAAGCGACCCATCAGTAGCAACCTTATGATACTCCAAGAAGCACAATGCCTACATTGCATTTTTAGGACTGTAAAATTAATGTACATTTTGAGGTTATTTTGTGGTTGCTATTTTTAAATAAACAGAAACATTCTTCAAAAACCACTGTTCTGCATTAGACTACATAGGGGTTACACATAAATTAAAACATATCTCTGTCACGGATGTCAGAAAGAACTTGCCATAGAATGGCCAGAAGAGCAAAAAAGACCCTATGCATAGCTGCAAAACGGGGTTTAGCCCAGGCTCAGGAGGTCAGATGATGTCAGGTAGAAACCTATGCCCTCAGGCCGCGGAGGAGACGACCTGGTGCTAGGCGGGTCTCAAGACATCTGATCCCTCAATGCTGAGTGAGGAGGAAAGGATGACCCAGAACTATATAGCCCCACACAAAGACACACCGGAAGGATGAGCAAAGCACAGGGAAACTAGGAACAGAACAGAGTAGGAGCTCCCTCTAGCTATAGAGTGACAATCTCCCTTGCTGTTTAGACATTTTTTAATAATGCCATTTCAGAACACCTGAATAAATGCACATTGTCAATGTGCCAAATAATCATCAGCAGGGCAACCACCTCAGCATTCACAGATTTCTATTGGAAGATCTAAAATCATACTGGTGCAAACAGACATGGCCTGACTTTTGTCTAATGGGTCTTGAACATATCTACAGTCAACACTTTAAAATCCCAGTGGAAAAACATTAAATGTAAATACTGGTATAAAAGATTAATAGGTGGTGGATGGAAAAATTAGGATTTTAAAAATCCTCATTGCTACTGTATTTGCATTTCATTTATGATTTTTTTTTCTTATTCTGATTTCCAGGCTGATGCTACAGTATTTATGTTGCTGATCAATGAAGCATGGCTGACTTCAGTAACATTCTTCTTTTCGGTAGGTTCAAAACCCCACTTTTCACGCTACCTAAAACAAAAATGTTTTCGATGCTATATTTGTTTCTATTTTTACATGCACATAACCAGATGTACTATAAAACAAAATCTGTTCTATATCCACTGGTTACTGATTACCGTCCAAGTTCCTTGACCAAATCACTTGACAGGTACATGGTGTGAAAATTCATCATATTGATATCATAAAACATCTTAGCCTTGCATAGAAACTGACCTCTTTCGATTTATTGACCAAACACAATGTTCTTTATCCATAAATTCAATAACCTAAGCTTAATATTAAGCTCACGAATCAATTGAAACTGCCAATATGACCAAATCTCATTTCAGAAGAGCACACATGTAGTGGAGAACCACTGGGGGCTGGAAAATGTGTAGAAAACATTTGCAGCACGTTATGTGTATTGATCCTACACCCAAAACCAAATTATTACTGGCTTGTGAAAGGGTGGGAAATAAAACCTAAAGCTTACTTTGCCCTATGCAAGTAGGTGATCTCCAGTAACCAGTGCACTGCACATTGCAGGTGTGAAGAGACAAGGTTCCTAGCATGACTGTGCTGTTATAACAATGACATTTAATGTAATTTAGAGAGTACTGAGCCCAAGTCCTGGATCCAGTTAATCTTATAGGTCAACTCTATCTAAAGATTGGCAACACCTGTGTATGATTGTTGAATTAAGAAATTAATCTGTCCAATTAACAGAGTGTTGGTCCTTGAGGACTGAAGGGCACTCAAATTGTGGTCCCGTATGATCTCTAAATGACTTCATTTAACAAATCACCTGCTTAATGGGTCACGCTTCAATTGCTCCACACCTTTAGAAATTGTTGATTTAGTGGTGATCTATCAAACCTGATGCATTGGTTCTCTTCAAGACCAGTGATGGAGACACTTGAAATAGGGTATAGTGCCAGTGTAAAGGTTAATTACCTGCTGACTAAAACATTGGGAACACTCACTGAAATTAATACATTCTCACTCAGTCCATGGATTATAATAATCCCCAGATCTCAGACAAAGTGAAAACTTCCACAACTAGTGCAATTCAATGTCACACAATGTTACCTCCTTTGCAACCTTATTTTAAGGTGATCTTGCTAGAATGGGGTGGGATTGAGTCGCAAATGTTTCAAACCCTACAGGAGCTCATACTCTTGCTAAATCTTGCTTCTGGCAGGGGATCACCATGTTGTTTGGAGTTAGTTCCTAGTATTTTGTCCATAGAGATTTTTCAGCATTTAAGGACAGAGCTCTGTACACTCACTGCAGATATTTTGTCCTTTTCCAGAAGAGACAGCAATGTATTTTCACTCTATTTTGTAGTACAATTTAGTATAAATACAGAGACTATGTAATGAACTATGATAAAAACAAAATAAAAAATATCAAGTCAAACATTTAAAAAAACAATGATCGAAAACTTTACCAAGCAAAAAAGAAGTAAAGATTCAGTGTGGGTCTGTATGGTGACCTGGCATTTGGCACAGTAATCTCACTGCTCTTGGGGCCTGTGTTTGATTCCAGCCTGGTGTGCCTTCTGTGTGACTTTACACTTATCCTGTGATCACATGTGATCTCCGGATGCTCTGGATTTCTCCCAACTTCCAATGACATGCTGGCTAAATGAATTTGTGTCCCTTAATTCTTCCAATGTGTGTTTGTCCTGTGATGGACTGGCATCCTCTCCAGAGTGACCCATTAGCAAGAATTAGTTACTTTTGGATCATGGATGGCTGTTTTAGAGTACTGTCACTAACTATAACAATATCTGAATTTGCATTTACAGAACATATCATTTTGAACCAAGCTTGTGCTAGCCTGTACATTTACTCTGAAAAAATAGCTAACAAATTGGGGTAAAATGTAAAATAAAGAAACCAGTCTGAACTTTTTTAAATATTTTTTTTATTGTAAAGCTTTAAGGTAGGACTAATTACAAGGGTTTCTCTGTTTGATTTGCTTAGCAAAAATAAAAGACCACAATTAGTTTTCCAACATGCGTATACTGATCAGAACAAAATGGAACAAATGGAAGAAAAAAAACCTAAGAAAAAAGACGAATAGCCCATGTTTCTGGGAACTCACCGTTTGCAATTAACATAAAACAAAAGATAAAACCTCAAAAGAGACAAGAAGCAAGTGAATAATTACAGTAAATGCTTTACAGAGCCGCTTCCACACAAAATAAACAAGAACCTGTCCAATCACACCCTAATGAACCCTATCTTAAAAACAGTTTACAATTTTAATTTGCCATAGGATTTTTTTCATAAATTTTAAAAAAGCTACACTTGCATGTACATAAAACTGTACAAAAAACAAGGCATCACAAGCAATTTTCCTATATAAATAGAACCGACATTTAGGCTACAAACTTGTATTTCCCGCAAAGACATACTTCTGCAGCAGTCATTTTTCTTTTTTTTTTCCTTTGTTTCCTGGTGAACCCTGACACAGCTTTCAATGGATTGTGGAGAAAAATATTCAATGTGGTGTTATGTACTAAACATGGAGTGGAATGCATGGAATTTAATCATGTTTCTATTTTTGGAAAGAATGCAACATTTCACCCTTGAACAATGGTGTCAACAGTTACGAACATCTTGCCATAGACCCAACACAAATCTGCAATGGGTAGCAGACTAGACTACTAACCATGTCTGGATATGTCCTATCTGAAGAACAAGAGTGTGCAACCACTCCTTTTGATTTGGACATGTAACAAAAGGCAGTTACTTTCCTTTCCTCTTACCACGTTTTCTGACTAACATGAAGTAGTATGTTCATGTTAAAGCTGGAACATACTACTAAGCTAAAATTAAAGCTTTTTACCATCCGGAACCACTGGGCTATTTTGTAGGAGAGGGATTTTGCAAGCTCAGGGATTTTTCCAGTTTTCTTTGGGATTGAAGTTGCGAAGAACAAACTTTTAAAAGGCCAGCAGGAAAAAAAGAGTGCATCATAACATGTGCATTCACAGATATTCAACATGCATGAATAATGAGAACGCCTGGAATCATGCAAACTTATTAATTAGAATCAATGAGGGAAAGAATCTGCAATGTGCTCATTTTCTCCGCTTTTCCTAATTGTGCTCCACAAACCATGGCAAAAGGAAAAAAAAAAGACTGGCTTGCATGTACATTTACGTCATTTACAAATCCAGATCCAAGATCTCTTGTAAAAAATAGCAATGACAATTCACATTTATATGTATATAACAATGTTGTTTTTGACTATTAAGAAACCAACAATAACAACTAAAAATGTATATATTTATAAAACTGGCTTTTATTCATGCTGTACCAGGACTTTTTAGTCATCTGGATGCGTGTGATAAAATGCATCCTACTATATACTTGTGGACAGAAGACTGAGAAGAATGAACAAAAAGAACACATCTGGCAGTTTTGGGGGTTAGGTAGTGTGTTTCATACACTCCACCATCACCCTTTGTTTCCCTGTGCGAACTGTTCTGAAACCTTATGGAGGCCAAAACAGGGAAATCATGTCTCTGCACACTGTCAAACCCTGCAGATGAACCTTAGGCATACTTGTGAACTGCGTACACATCAACAGAAGGAACTAACGAATCTGCCAAGTAATTTGGGTTTATAATTCCTCAAGGAAAGCATTCATCTTTGTTTTGGACAGTTGTTTTGTATTTATTTACAACAATCACTGTACTGGAAAAAAATAGAATGAGCAAATGCCTTTATACTGTACATCTTTGTTTTAATTAGTAGACAAAACACAAGTTTCCCCACTGAGCCCGTGTCTTAAACCATAATTGTCCATCATTATTTAACTATTCAGTACAACCTAATCACTGAACAGTTAAATGTTTCTAAAACATTAATACGAATGCAGAACCTTATTCATGAGGTCAAAATTTTATTTTTTCCCTAAATTATTTGAAAAATAATAATGTTGACACATTGCAATAAGACGTAAATGAAGGATCATGTATGAGTTGAACTCGGCATTGCTTTTTTGACAGTTGAAAGAGACAAAAGCACAATGATACTTTTAATGTGAAATGGACAAAATATCCTCTTGTACAAGAAATGGAACTCTAAACAAAAATGACCTCAGTTCTTCCTTTATAAAGTTATTCTGTTTCTTTTCCATCAATCCACAGTACCTACAAAACTGACCTGAAAGTACATCAGCTGTATCTAATGGCTCATTTAAACTCTAAGTTACCACACAAAGTTACCAGAAAAATGAAGCAATATACATGTTTTCTGCCTTCAACATGAAGGTTAATAAGCAAAAATATATTTCAATATAATTTTTCTATGTATTCCTATCCCCAAGATTTGCAATTTATTTTACAAAAAAACACCTAATGTATTAAACTGTCAAGGCCCAGTGATAATGCAAATAAGCATGCTTTACAAATGGTCACATCCATGGAAAAGGTTCCAAAATCTCTCCTGAAATGTGAAAGCTACTTTCACAGTAAAGATGTCAGCTTAATGAGCGTATATAATATATTCCAATAGCTTTTTCTGAATGAGTAATATTATCAAGAAGCTATACTATTGATATGAAGTACAGTGACAAGCTAACTGCTCCCCTCAGTTTCAAATATGTATATATATATATTGTCCTACAATAAAAAGCAGATAAGAGCATTTGGCGGAGCCTAGGAATATTGCAATAAGACATATAAAATCAACTATCCTAGTAAAAAAAATCCTGCTTGCATCACGTCTGAATTACAGACTATGGGGGGAAGAGCGTTTCATAACTCTTTTACTCATCATTGATTTATTTCAGTCTGCAACTTGCAATTATCTGGAATTCTGTCTTCCTGATGTTTTAGATTGAAGCACTTAGTGGTGAAACATCAAGCTCCAGAGTCATTTGCTGAGCAGGAATCTGAGGGCAAGATTTTCAGGCACAGAGATTACAAATGTAGCTTCTAGGTCAAGCTGAGTATGCAATGAAGAGAAGGAAAGGGTAAAAGGGAGACAAACAGAGCTCCTGATTCATTTATTGTTTTTTCTCAATATGTCATTTTAAACACTTTCTTTGAGTTCTCAGGTTGGGTATCAGTGTTGTCAAGTTAAGAGACACAGCATGAAGCCTATTTTCCCAGCACTGTAGTTCAAATAAACTAAGGCAGGGAGTTGAGGTGTACTGTTGGGGAGTTGTGGAGCTATACCCCTGTCAATTTAAAAAAATGTCCCATTGGCTATGTTTGTTGTCTCACTGAAAAATGAAAGCATAATGATGACATCATAAAATGAAATGGAAGAGTTAAACTTAACAAAAGAACATTTTCTTAGTGTTCAGTAACAATGAAAAAATACAAAACTACAAGAATAATACAACTATATTAAATTGTATACCAACAAACAGGGAATAGAAACATGTTAATAATGCTAATGCAGCACAAAACTTGAACTTGGGTGAGTGCACTGATTAAAAATTAATTAAAGTAATAAAATGTCAAGAGCACAGAAAATTACTAAATTCATGGTTTAAAGATGGCATACGTCCAGAAAGTATAAGCATGCTTGACTGCAATTTTCCTTGTGCGTTAGGCTAACTGTTAAATTCGAACAATTTTAAAGGCCGAGACAGAGTTTTGTTTTGGTAAACAGCAGCCTTCAGCTGATTGTAAATGACTAAAATGATTGTTTGACATAGTGAGCTGCCTTTTTTAAAAGCACCAGACAAAGACATTCTGCAAATCTTTTTTAAACTATGGTCCGGGTTCAACTCACATTTCAGCACCAAACTGTGTACATTCAAAACCTGATTTTCGAACTCAGAAATGTATTTTAGTGGAGACCATAGACTGCAAGTTTGTCTTTTCTATGGCAGACCTCCTGAAACTGACATGGGCAACATGAGTGTTATAAAGCCTCTGAGAGATGAAATTCAAAGAAAAAGCAATCGAGCACAGAAATGGACTAAGCTTAAATGCAATTACAATGGATTATGGTTTTTGCTGTATTTTATCATAGCCATTAAATAGCTTAAAAATAATTGAAGAATGTGCTTTGTATGTGCTCATGGCTGGACATTTAATTGGCTTATTCAAATTGATTGTCTTTCTAATGAACATAGGCAATTCTTCACTTAAACTAATAGCCAGGACCATCTTTAAACACAAAACAATGATTTTCCATTATCCATTATGCATAGTACTCTGCTACTCCCTATTTTTCCTACAAAGTTTGAATATCTATTTAAAATTACACTAATTTATTATGAACAAATTATTTTACCCACATATCTTTCACAATGTATTAATGCCAATGACAACCTTAATAATTATGATTTTTTTTTAATTTGAAAGTGAAACCAAATTCCAGGCTTTTGAAATGCATCTGATTTTTTTTTAATTACATGTTTTTAAATTGGTTAAGAACAAGAAGTGTCTTTGGAAAGTTGCAACTTTTAGAAAAGAAGACAACTTATGAAACATATTTCTTACCAACATTTTAGTTTCCAAAATATTGTATTTTTGTGCTTGAAGTTATAGATGGCATTATCCCATGGAATGAGTTGAACAGAGGGATTTATGAGGTCTTTATAAAATAAGTTAAACTACGGGTATTTACTTATCAGTGCAGGTGGTGACCAGTTGAATGTGGTATACAAACAAAGGAGATAACTAGACTACCAAAATTTCTTCTGTGTTTTTACAAACAGTTTATACATAATAATCAAGAACAGAAGAGCAGGGAAACAAGCAACACTGAGATTCACAGTGTGCTTACATTTAAGATACTGTACCAAAACCTAGTGAAGCAAGTCATACACTTATTTGTTGCTGCTACCTTGTTTAATCTCTATTTTCATGCAAAAAATGTTGACTATCTGGAAAGGTACTGTATTTCAACATCATATAAGACAACGTCATTTAAATAGATGCATCATGTATACAATTAAAACGACTGCAATTAAATGGCTCTGACAGAATATGAAGAAGCATTTTGAATTGCCAATTTCCAATATTAGGAATCTTTTACTGAAAAGCACTTTGCTAAACTCTAGTTTCAAAAGTAAACGTAGGGTCACAACAGTATCAAATGAATGCCTGAAGAATCTTTACTTCACTCATTGTCTTCTACCTATAAATAACTAAGATTCCCAAAACATACATTTTAAAATGTCAATATTAACTGAATGTAAAATATTCATTACAACACAGAAAAGACGAGCAAGAGTAAAAATGCCATTTTCGTATTACAAGACTTTGTAATGGATAAGTACTGTATGAACAATGAGAAAAGGGGCTTTACAATTGTGGTCCTGGAGTGAAGTGTATCTGCAAGTAGTCATTCTAACTCACCTGAGCTACTTATTGGCTGCACTGGACTGGTTTTACAGCTTCTCCAAACTCTTTGGGTGGTGCTTCTTTAAAAAGACCCAGAGACTTGCAGACATACTAACATGCCAGATCCAGGACTGAATAGTCTTGGTATGCTTTCACATTTCACATGCCAACATCTCTTGTGAAAAAAACAACTCCCTATATAATATATACTATATACTTTATCCTATATACTTCAAAAGCAAACTGTTTTCATTCTGGATGTGTATACAGTCACTTTTAACAGCACTTTGGTCATATAGGCTACTGCGTACACCGTTATTAATCTCATTATCATGGACATATTTTGCCAGAGTTTAAACTTCTTTTCTAGTCACCAACTATTAATAATATCTTCCTCAAAACTATCTTTAAACAAGAAACTCAGTTTACTCTGTGTATGAAATTATGACAGTTACCAAAGGCAATTAGTGGGATGCCCATGCTTTCTACCATTTAATAACATTTGTCTTGATTATACTGTAGTGCTGAAAACTGCACTTCAAATCAGATGACTAAAGGCTCCAGCAGTACGTAACTTACAATATTTAACAAGAGCAATGAAAATGTCCCTGGTACACTGTTGATCCTAGTCATATACACCAGGTGCTTCTGTTTGTTTCAAACTTCATTTCTTTCTGCTGAATTATATTGGAACATAGATACCAGTATTGCCAAAATCAAGCCAAAACGATGAACATGTTTAAATAGATAAATGGCACCAAGTCATTGTGTACATTTCCACAACTATGATCAAACACAATGCTTTTTTGTAGACCACTGTGTGCTGTATTTGGCCACGACCAGAAGCTATTTAGGTAAACATTACATAATCAACAAGGAGATGGAGAGGTATGCAATTAATGAGAAAGCAAAAAATACAGTGCTGACACGGTAACGCACCAGACCCTTCAAAATACAGATATTTAACACCACTGACAAATCAAAGTTCATCTTTTCCTCTCCTACAAACTTCCAGAGAGCAGAGGGCAAAGATCATAGAAAGACGGCAGATGTCTCCCAGGCTTTGAATGTAGCGTTACAAAGTACCAGTTTCTCCACTGCAATGACATTATTTTCACCCTAGTTATGTCATCTGCTTCCAGCTTTGTTTGGAAACCATTTCTATGTACAAAGGTGAAAATTCTATGCGATTTAATAGCTTCTTTTCATTTCACTGTAAAACAACAAAAAGGCTAGAATTTCAAAAGCTCTTTACAGCAGAAGAAAAATTACTGAAGTCAGACAGACATATGCACACGAACCAAATGTATTTACAGCACTGTACAGTAATAGAGACCTCTCTTCTTTTTTACCATTTCCTGCTGCGTAGAAGACTTCTTTCCAGGTGAATGTAATCTGTTTATGATGAAACCTTGGGTGATAGCACTACAGCATTGATTGTACCTTTGGAATTCTTTGAACCAAGAGATTCAAAGAAATAAACGCTCCACAAGCAGGTAAATCAAGCAGCCAGACATTTAAAAAAGAAAAAAAAAGAAATAGTATCGGTATTTTTGTTTTATGTTCCTTGTTGTTTCGATTTTTAAATTTGACAGTGTTCTTATCTTTTTTAAAAAAAGAAAAAAAAGTTAATCAGTAAACTGTATTCCCATAAATCATACAAACATCTGAATGATAGTTTTGTGTACATTCCTTCAATATACTGGATTTTTAAAAATTCTTCATTTCAATTTTATTTGTTCTCCCTTTTGGATTCTAAAGCCTTCTTTAAATCATTTTGTGTTTTTTTTTCTTTTCTTCAGTGGCAAACAGGCACAGGAAGTATTCTCCTCACAGGTAGATCTCTCTTTTGGAACTCTGGGTAGAAGGAGTAGTTGCCGGTTGGAACTCTGAAGCCTGGGTGAGGGGGATTTCTTCCATTGTAGAGTCCTTGCTGGGCTCATGGCTAGTACTGGAGAAGGCACTGTATGGAGGCAGGAAGCGAAGCTTGGCATTGCGTTCCTCCACAAGCCTTGGGCTCCCATTGGTCAGCCTATCCTGGCTCCCTCTCTCTTGGTAAGGCACAAAGGTTGAGAGTTTGGGGGTGTTCTTGGTCACCTTGCGGTTTGGGGAAGGCTGTCCTGGCATCCAACAGGCATCTGAATGTCCAAATTCAGTGCATTCCCTAGTACAATTTCCAGTCATAGCAACGTCAGGTAGAGATCTGAGATCTGGAAATAGAAAAACAATAATAAGAAGTCATTCCTGAAATAGGAATTTACCTCAAACAAGTGTGAACTGAGCAAAAATATAAAAGAACTGAAAGCAGTCTCTGTATCTACTGTACTTTTTTATTTAAAATTATCACTATGTACATTTTTTTTTTATCTCCCTGCTGATATTCCAGTATGTTCAGTGTTACTTCATTTATGTCTGTCCAGCCTGTGTTTGGCCATTCCAAAGAATCATGGACAATAAACCACAAATCTCCCACAATCAACAAAAAAAGTAAAAAAGTTAATTATAGTTTTTATTATGGCAAACATACAAGAACGTGTGGCTTCACAGACAAACTGTCAAAGAATTTAGTAAGCAAGCAAAGGGCTAATAGTGCATTGAAAGCTGCTCCAAACCATTATCACTGTTGAGAAAACAGCACCCATTTTCACCATATTCATTAAAGCCCTCTGCCGTTCTCCAAAATGTTACAGGAGGTTTGCTTTAAGACCTCTCATTATTTTTCTACAAAGGTCACACCCCTATGGAAGCCTGACAATCCCCATGTGTTAGTGGAAATTACAGACTGTCAAATCTCAATTGCATTTCTTTAGCATACACAATTCAAATATAATGAGAGCCTGACTACTTGCTGTGAGATCTGTGGTTTTAGTGAAACAGTACAGAGAATAGTCAACAGTCATATCCACTATTATATAAAATGGAAAACATGCACCCATTTATTATTGTTGTTAGTTTTCAAACACAGTTCTAAAGTGGTGATATAACTGAAAAAAAGAATGTGTTTAGTAATGGCTACAATCAGGTAATCCAATCTTCTAATAGTTCAAGAATGTTGTTCACACAATCCACGCTGAGTCATTTAACACCTTTTCTAACTTTTCAAAGAAAAGGCATTCCATGTAGTTATAAATTGCTCGCTTTGACTAATGTTGCAGGTCTTGCACATCAAAAATGAATTCAGGTTTCGGGAATACAAGATAATCAAGCAGATATAATTATATCGTGGTCTGGCATTACAATTTTATTTACTTAGCAAGCAGCACCTGTTGTGTAATTGTCTACTTAAATGTTTTAAGGAAAATGTTAAGCACAAGTACCTTAAAATTGTAGTTCAGGTAGTATAACAAACAATGAATGAGGTCCACACACATAATATTGCTTTTCACTGTATGTTCAGTAAACATTGTGTCAGTTAATCTCATGGTAATTGTATACAAAGGTAGAGTCTTCTTTATGTAAGATTCTTGTACATGTCTATAAATGTGAATCACAGATTAATCTCAGAAGGTCAGAATCTTTAGGTTAAAATATCAATGTATATGCGGAAAATAACCTTTCTTCCTTATGCATGACATTAGATTATTCTTTGGTTCTAGGGGGGAAAACCAGACATTTTGGAAAGCAGTTATTTCCCAAACGTACACAATGCCCTGACTTCATGAATAATTTAAATTCATTACCTGGTACCTAAGGACTGACTCTTTAGGCAAAGAATCCCTACTTGAGTTTAAAATACACATCCAGCATAAAAGAGGTACCATGTCTCTTTTGTTGAACATAAGCAGTAAATGTAAAATAAAATGAGACTCTCATCAGCTTTGAAGGTTAAATCTTTGGCAGACTGATTTAAGCTTGAGTTCAAAAAGTTTAATTTTAATATAATAGGTGTGAGGTGCTCACACCTGAAGAAGGCTCCACGTCCAAAACGTTGTGTTTTCTTTCTTCTCTGTTCAGCATGGAATAAACCTATTACTTGTTCATATATCATGTGATAACATTTGTATCAATATCACATGTCAAAGCCACGTTATAGCAAGCTGAGAATGAACATAAACTGACTTTAAATCAGTTATAATATCATTAATGCCTCCAGGGAAGACACAAGTAAATAACAACTAAGATTAAAAAACACAAAAATATAAAATATCAATAAAATTGGAATTTTCTAGTATACACATGTAGCCATAGCTACATATATTGACTGAAATGTATCTTACATAAGACATTTTTATAAAAAACATTTTGCTCTTAACAACATTGCAATGCAAGTACAAAACTTTTTTAAATTAGATTTGTAGTATTAAATACACATATAGACAAATTTACAAAAATACAAAACTCAGCACTCCAATGGCTACATCATTACGCTAACAAATACAGGAACTCTTTATTAAACACATAAGCAAGGGATATTACAATAGTGTGTTGCAATAAATGCAAACAGATAACAGATTTAAATTAAAGAGGCATGCACACTCTGGTGATGTTGAAATTGTTTTTATTATGATAGGCAATATTGTGCCACAATTATTTGGCTGGATCTCTGAAAGGTAACTATTACAATGTTTGGGTGCAAGGGGATTATTAGCTGAGAATAATGGGTAACGATAGAAGAATTACAATTCCCCAGGCTATTTTATGTCCTGTATAATGTCAAACCCAAAGGCACTTTAAGTTTAAGCAGCAAAAAAACTCACGTAATTCTAAGCTCACTGAAGAGAAAAAGTCACCTGACCCTTTATTCAAGAGGCAGAATCAACACTCATTTTCAATGGAGAACTGATTAATTCAGCCCCAAGTAAGATAGGATATGATTTTTTTTATAATCTAAAGCTATTTTGAATCACTGGTAAAAAGACAAAAACTGAAGTCACTAAAGCCAGTAAAGATTGATTTTAGATAAATTATCAGTACATTTCCATAAATCTTGTTGTGTTTTCATTGTGTGTGCATTTCTATGACAGTTGGTGTGCAGAGTATGCATTTTGTATCCACAAATAGGCTTATCTCTGTACCCAAGTGCAAACTGTCAATTTCAAGTCCCATTCCTGAATTCAGAAAGGGTTTTTGGTATCCCAGTTATTTTATAATATTACATGCATTCTTAATGTCATATATCGCTGAATTGCCATGTCTGATCAAGGAGACCTCTGAGAGAAACCAGCCTTTGGTTAATTACATCAGAGATGAGCCACAAAAAAACAAAATACACATTGGGTTAAAAAAACATGGCGTGCATAACATCCCTGAAAGTTTAAATTTCAACCACTAGCTTAAATGAGTTTTAAAAACATTCTTAGAGGGATCTGAGTCACTGAACTAGTAAATGGATTCACTCAGAGTTCAGGTTGAGTCGTATGAGCCTGGGTCAAGTCACTAGTGACTTCCCAGTTGGTGGTGCCCATCTGGCACAGAGCAGCTAGTACAAGACTGGAAGCATTATTCGGCAAGGGGATTTTCACCTTTTATCTCCTACAACTCGTCACAACCAGCGAGAGACACAATGCTCCTCCAGTTGATAATTTACCTTGTTCAGTACTGTGCACTGTGCAGCATGTCAAACAATCAATGGCTCTGACAAGTGGGTATGCCAAAGGAACATGGCTGTATGGTTCTCAGTATCCACATGTAATACAGACATTTTAGCTGCCATTTAAATCTTAAACAATTGTTAAATATATTCTCCAAAATGATAAAATATTATCTCTAATAATTAAAGACTACTCTCTGCCCAGGTGTTTTCATCCCTTATTTGTAATCTAAACTGGCACTTCTGTACTAATTCTTTTAGAAGTCCTAATGATTTACATATGTTCTTTGTGATCTAATAATTTAAACACTCATCATAGTGCTCAGCTCCTGAAAATAAAGCTATCAAATGACTTTAATATAAATGTGGTTGTTATTCATAAACCAAAAAAGGAACCAAAATTCATTTTTGTCGGACATCTGGAGGTCTGCAGTGCTTCTGTCTTTTAATGCACCACTTACTGCCGATGAACAGCAGTTAACCATTGATTAACCCTGCTAAGTTTAACAAAAACAGTGGAAGTTTGCATATTAGGTCCTACCAATTCAGTTTCTGTATACTAGTCAAGAAAAAACAGCTTCTTATCACATTGATTCCATTCTTACCTCTAACTGAATTTACCTAATTAGCACAGAACGTAAATGTTCCCCAGTTTTGTACAGTAGAACCCCCAACATGAACGTCTCCTAGAATGATAGGTTGTAATAAAATGATTACAAGGGATAGCACGCTAATTAGAGCCTTTATCTTCAGAGTTTATTAAAAGGTGTCCGAGTTGATAACACCACGCTGATAGATGTGATGCTAATAATGTAATTTTATTGGATTTTGCCGTGGTGATAAGCAGAATGTTTCAAAATTGCTATTTCACTTCTGGAAGCCTTAGGTGCACATAAGAATTAATATATTCACTGGAAAGTTCAGATTCATATATTACAGAAACTGCAGCTTAGGATGTGCTGATGAAATCTCACAAATTTATAAACATTAAAAAATATATGACTACAAGAAATTTAAGATTATCAGTTGTTGCATGCTGCCATGTCATAGAGGGTAAATTGCTACATACTCTAAAATAACAGGAGCTTTAGTTTCAGTTATGTGAAAATATATTCCTCTTTGGGTTGTATTATTTCTGTACTCCACTGGTTTCACATTTTAGAAGATATTCATCAATGTGTAATCAGCTGTTTCTATTTTCAGATCAAAGAAACATTTTGTTTGTAGTATGAATGCTGTAGTTTAACTGACAGCAAAAAACAGCAGAAAAAAGACCATGGTACAATAGGAGGAAAATGGGAGGTAAAAAAAAGGACCACTGCAGGTCACTGGGGGGTGGCAATATCTAAAGTAAACTGACGTTACATTAATTGTTAGTTATACAAACCATGAACTTAATTCAAAACAAAATAAACTCAATATCAATTAAACATTGGAAGCACAGCCTTAATACTCAATTTACTTTCCTAAGCCTGAACTGTTTAATAGTATGAGAGCTTGCTGGTGCATGGACTATGATTCCATTTTAAACGATTATGAATGAACATTAAACAATTCCTTAAATATAACAGAACAAAAATTCTATAGTGTATGTAAGAAGTACCAAAGACATAAAAAGTCAGATTCTAATTGTCTTTTTTGCAGGAAAATTAATAAAGGGGGACGCGGACACCCACAGAA